TTAACACATTCATAAGAGCATAAAAGTAACAAGTGTATATGATACATTGCACATTGGATTGATTCTGTTCCTGGCTCCGCCCTTGGTGAGCCGCAGAACCTTCTGGAAACAATTTACATCTCTGTGACAGCTTCCCCAGATGTGAAAGTATCAAGTTTTAAATGGATGGTGGTTTTCTATTTTTTTATTTGCTGACATGTTCAAATATTAAACATTTTGAAGTATTTTAAAGATCATATATTCTGATCTGTTATGTCAATAAACTACTTCCTGGTAACTAGAACTAAATGAGGCACTTTTGAAGGTTTATTTATGTTTTTCAAAGCATTAAAATTCCATATGGTAATTTATGTTTTGGGCTAAAGTAAATTCATGAAAAGATTCCTATCTCTCATAAAGCACCAATGAAATTATTGTCTACATTGTCAGAGGAAAGAACAGATCTCGTGTAATTATCCAGATAATTACTGTAAAATTATTTTGCTGTGGAAAAGTAATAAACTGTTTTATCAAGTAAAATTAAAGAGTTTGCTTCATTTCTCAGTTTTGAACTTCTACTTAGATTTCTTGCCAATTTCTTTTTGCTTTTAAAAATTTTAACATTTCTTTGGTGCCCATTATATGAATCAGCTATGCTTATTGAAAAAATAAGCTTTAAGTAAGAATATACTGTCCATTACTTCATCTGATAGTACCACTAAAGGGTGTTTTGTGGAAACCTTGCCAGATCCAAATAAATTAGAATCCCTATTTCATTTTCTGAATTTAGGAAGGTATTTTTTGAGAGTTTTACAATTGGTTTTACACAATCTTGGCTGGAAAACAGCTACAGTTAGTTTTGCCTCTTGAAACTCTCTTCTCCATCGCTGGGCAAAAAACAGCTCTCGGATCATTTGTTTATAAACAAGAACTCAGCCTACAATTCAGACTCTTGGTACTTTTGAGTCTTGTTTAATTTAGGTAAAAGCTTATGCTTTTTTGGAATGATTTTTCTATCAGAAATTTTATGAATTTATCTCTTATCATTTTCATAAATTTAATCTATTACTTTATATTTCCAAATATTTTTTCATCATTATTTAAGGATTGAACAAAAACACACGATAAGAGTAGAAAATAGAGAACAGAACATGTCCCACGTTGATGGCTATTCTATCAGGTGATTCCACAAAGAGCTTTCAGATAATCTTTTGAGAGCTGCAATCTAAAAAAGTTACTAGCACTGCTACATACCGCTCCCGCCCCTGGGTAACCACAAAGAAGAGAGGATAATAACAACTTCAGTCAACTCAGAATAAAAACGTGGATCCTTGATAACTTACACTATAGACTAAACAGCATCAAAAATCACATGTGAAAAGGACTCTCCGACACAATTCCTACACAATTTAACTTTACAAAAGAAAGCACTGGTTTTTAATGTTTATAAGGTTTTTCTTGTTAAAAGACATAGAAAGGGATCTAAATGTTTTAAATTCCTTTATGCCTACCAGTCTTTAATTTTAAGAAAGAGTATTTTTTTTGCTTTTAAGTAGGGAATATTCTCCTAGTACAAGGTATGCTTGTTATCTGAGTGTGTTTGCAAAGTCTCATAAGGTAAAAGATTGTACAAGGCAACAAATGTCATCCTAACACACACACAGATTCATTGAGAAACACAACACTTATAAAGAACCCCATTCGACTATCTCTGCCCACTTTAATAGTGACATCTATTTTAGCCCAAGTAGTCAACATTACAATCATCATTACCATCACCAATCAGTCTACAGCTGTTGTAGAAGTTTGGAAAATTCTGATAATTCAAAATAATTGCAATGAAATTAAGTTACATCTACCAAAACATAGGATTTCATTAAGCTGATCTAATTAACATTGGCAAACTATAATCATACTCAACACGACGAATGAAAACTTGGCAAAATTTGACCACTTAAAATATATAAAGATAAAACAATAAGAATGATGGCCCAAATAAAAATAGATGGCCCAAAAAGACTACTTCAAACAGAGAATTAATAAAGGATATTTTTATAAAACTGAAAATGTCCAGGGGCTGGCCTGGTGGCGTAGGGGTTAAGTTCACACGCTCCACTTTGGTGGCCTGCGGTTCACAGGTATGGATCCCAGGCACAGACCTGCACACTGTTCAGCAAGCCATGCTGTGGTAATGTCCCACATACAAAACAGAGGAAGACTGGCACAGTTGTTAGCTCAGGGCCAATTTCCTCACCAAAAAGAAAAAAAAAACAAAGTCCAAAAATATTTCTTCAAAAATGATCACTTGAAATGAAGCATATCACAACATAACATATAATGTCCACAACATTATGCAAAAAAGTTCATTTTTGCAAACATAATCTAAATTTTTTTTTAAATAAGATAACACTATCTTAATAAGTATCTTAGTTCTTTTAAGATAAAGTCTCAACTATGTTTTCTACTCTTCCTGGTGAAATTTTGTTCTTTCTTTAATTGGATCTTAAAGCAGTAGCCTCTTACCTATGCCAGTTTATGATAGATAACAAAAATCCCCTACATTAAATATTTCCTCTCCCATTTCACTTTCATAAAAGTTATGGAGAAGCTGATCTTCAGACAATCAAGACTCCTGCAGAACCTGAAATAAAATCTAATTGTGCTAAATACCCCTGTACCGAGGACCCAACACCATTAACTCTTCACTCTTTTAGTGTGTGGCTCCCTCCAAGAGACAAATATTTCAGATGAGGTTGAAAGTCACATGTTGACTACTGAATGACAACTAACAGACCATTTCAAAATTTTTCTATATCTACTTGAGAATATAAAAGACAATGTGGGCTGCATCAATACTGTAGGCCTGACACCAATTTTCAGCACTGAGAACCTGATCTAATGTTTTTGTCAAACAAATGCCCCATCTAACCTTACTATCAGCACACTGAGTCTACCTATGCAATGAGAAAATAATGGGTGAACAAATACTAATTATGAAGTGCCAACTCTCCAATTTAAACATTTCACAGTGTTTATAGTATATGGACTTATCGTTTACAGACTTATAATATTCCTACTCCTCAAACTAGAAAGGAAATGTCTCCCAGAACTAATTACATGATTATCCCTCATTCCCCTTAGTTTGATACAGAAAATCAGGTAGTCAAAAAAAATTCTGGCATTTACTGGGATACATAAAATAGAAGTCAACAGAAAATTAAATTCAAATATTTATAAAGTCAATACATAAATCTGGGGTTGAGATAACAATAGTAGCAATGAAACAGAAGAACCAACAGTTTAAAAACTGTGTGTGTGTATTTGATGTAGAAAGGCAGAGGGAAAAGGCAGAAGAAAAATTCAAAGATTACACAGATTCCCACCTGGGTGTCTGCCACACTGTTTTGGCCACTAAAGGAAGTCAATTGATGGAGAATGTGCTTTTGTGATAGATTTGATATGCTAGGCCTGAGAAGATAGTGAAGTACTCAAATGGAAGTACCTAATAGAATGTTGGAAAATGTATGACTGAAGCTCAAGAATAAGATTAGAGCAGCAGAAGTGAAGTTTGAGTCACCTCATGCAAATTCAAAAGAAGAGAAGCTAGGCTATTAAATGAAACTAACATTGCTTGCCTGCCAAGGGCCCAGCGCTGTGTTATCAACTACACTTTGCATTTATTCATTCATTTTAATCCTTACAATGACTTAAGAAGTAGGGTTATTAGCCTCATTTCTAAAATGAAGAAAGCAAGCCTCAGACAAGTTAAGTAACTTGACCACAGAACTAAGGTATTCTGAGTTCAAAGCCTTTGCTCTCTTCTCTCTTCACAGTATTGGACTGCCTCCTTAGAATAATATCTGGGAATATGGAATGAATGAGATTTCTAAGTAAGTTAATGTGGAGAGAGGAACAGAGGGCCAAACACACAGCTCTGAACTTACCTCTATCCTACAGAACCTTAGAGCCTTCTAACATTGGATACATTTCAGAATGTCCTAAAAAACTTCAAAGAAAGTACCTATATTTCTGTTAAAATCAGACACATGTAGAATTTGGGTTTACATAATCAGCAGGACCCAAGGAACTTATCTTTAGGGCTTATGACCAAACAGGCCAGTGAAATAACCAAACCTCCCCCAACTGCTAATTTGTTTCTACTTGCATTGCTCAGTCTAGAGTTGCTTATTTGTAATGCAAATTATCACTATTCTGTATTAATGATCTTACCTAACAAGAATTAAATTACCACACTACGGGATGGGCCTGAGCTTTAGGGAACTTGGCAATTGCTAAGCAACTGTTCTGAGAATTTCATGTTTGGAATCCCTTCCCTCAGCAAAATGCTGCAGACTACAGATGCTGCTCCTCAGCCAGTTTGGCAGGCCCGGCCTCTGGTTTCATTCCTTCCTGGTTTTGCTCTCTGATATTTCCCTCTGCTATATAGTTTAATAGGCCAATCAAGTAAATTCTGAACTAAACATACACTTTTAGCCTTTCACGGAAAAGATCTCTCCAAAATTGTCATGGGTCATTCTTACAGGTGTTTTCTCATCTGTTGCTCACTCTACTTTTACTGTCCATGAACAGAGAAGATGAAACAACCTAAGAGTATATCTTCTTCCATCTTATTTTTACCTCTTTCTTTTTAATTGGTGATTTCTTCTCTAATGGCATTCTGTAATACACTAAATAAAGCTCTTTCACATCCTCCAAACAAATAGTCAACTCAGCAATACTCTTTACAATTTTAATGAAGGAAAAGAAATGAAATATGTTGCCAGGGTGAAATAAATTGTTTCCCAAACCTGTCAGTTCAACAAAATAATAAGGGCAGTAATAAGGGCAGGAGTCACAGAAGTCATAGCAACAGAGTAAGCTCAAGAATCCACAAAGAGGAGTTTCTTCTTTGGGGATTGGATGAATTTCCTCAATTGGATGAAATTTTGTTAAATAGAAAAGTTGAATTTCAAGAAAGGATGTATAAGTTTGAGGAGAAAAATCTGCGTTAATTCACTTACTGAAATAACAACAACAGGATATAAAATGGAAAGATTACTCTCTTCAAGCGCATTCAGTAATTTCCGGGTTTCTTCAAAATCAGAGGTCATAACCTGAAAGACGAGAAACGTAAAAGGAAGTGAAAAGAAGTTCTTAAATGACTTAAAAGTTAATTCATGGGAAAAAATGGAGAGCTTTTATGTAAACATTCAAACTTATTTATCAAACTTAATTTTTAATTTTCAAACAATTTTAAAGGATCTCATAAGGTTATACCTATGAAAATTTTAACTATTCATTAATTCAAACCTGTGTCATCTTATCTGCTTTACACCAGGTACAAAATAGAACACTGAAAATACTGTCTAAAGAAATATCACCCTCTTCTCATTATGGGAATCAGCTTGTTAGAAAACGTTATTTCCCTATTTCAAAAGATAAAAAATAAAATTTCCAAATACATATTGAATAACACAATTCATCTATCAAGATCTTAAATTCAAATATTTAAGAATCAAGGAAAATAAATTCTCTTCCACATTACATTTACACAGATCCTCAAGGGATTTCAATCATTTGTATTTACTACTTACATTTACACAAACAAAATTGTAGCACTGCTCTAAGATGATCTGTTGAAGATCTCTGCCAGCATGACACAGAGCCCCAGATGTGACTTTTACATGCTACGAGAAACAATTAGAGGAAAAAAGAGTTTACAAACTAGATAGAAAGACCAAATGTGAACATAAACAACTCAGTTACAAACGAGTACAAAATTGCCATAGGCACCTAAAGCCAAGGACCACATGTAAAAACAAGATAATTCAGGCTGAAGTTTACAAGGCTACCAAGAAAAAGACATTTGAACTAGTCCATGAATAACGAATATTATTTTAGCAAACAAGGAAATGGGAAATTGTTTCAGATAAGAAAAAATGTAGAAAAGGCACAGAATACATTCAGGAACAGGCAAGTAGTCTGATTTTTCTTATACAAAGAATATATTACAGAGAATGTTAGAATAAAATACAAAAGCTTTGTTAGGGATTGTTGGAGGGTTCTGGCAGCATGTTAAATCCTACCATTACAAAGAACAGATTTAACTAAACCTGGAATGACTAAAAGCAGGGAAAGCAATAAGAAATTATCATAATAACGTAAGTGATAGAGAAATAAGATTTCAACTAGGGCACTGAGAATAAGATAAAAGAAGAGATTATTACTAAAGGTAGTCCCAGACTAGATTTAGAAGGAATAGTACCTATATCATGAAATCTTTCCTAATAAGATTTTTATTCCATAGAGTTCAATTTCCTAATTAACTTCTATTTTTTCTATTATAACAATATGAACAAAAAATTACTACCCAAGGGAACTGTTATGACGATATCTCTGCTATAATAATTCCACAAGAAGTCACATTTCAGTGGTTAATACTGGCATTATATTTAGAATGCTTTACAATTTATGATTCTAAAATACAATGCTTGTTCCTTAGTAAAGCATCAAACTCTGTACCTCTAATAGCATCACCTATTCAGCAGAATTTTGTTTTAATTCTACATAATTTTGACAAAATATTTGAGACAGGGAAGTAAAGGTTTTGAGGTCTTATCTTTGCTATAGAAATTAGGTGGCTCATAAATTTCAAGAATTTTATCTTGGTTTAAAGTTCTTACTGAGTACAAAGTTCAGGGAGAAGATTATTAGAAAAACAAAAACCCATAGGCATCAGCCACATATTGATAGTAAAATAGAGAAGAAATCAGCTTCCACTGTGCAACGTTAAGTTTGTTCAAAGAGTTACATCTTCTAGATATTACAGGGAGACAACTTTTCAGGGGTTTCTCACATATCCAATCATTTTCAAAGGCATCAATAGCTAATTTACTCCAGATTGGCTTTTCAAGGATGTTTGCACAGCAGGCAGACTTATAAAGATAGCTATATCTCTTCCTGGAGCAAATTTGCTTATGTTCCAGAAAGTAAAGATAGAGACACGTCTTTCCTTGGAGCAGATTTGCTTGGCATTCCAGAGTAATAAAGACAATGTCTCTCTTTTAAGAGGAGGATGGGCTGGTTTGCCAGCAGTCCCTGTATAAGGCTAGTGATTCTTGATATCAAGATTTTTCTTTGATGTACCTCACTGGCCTGGCAATATCGAGCCCTAATACAATTTCCCTATGGGAACTGCAATTCAGAAAATCAGCACTACACTGTTATTCTCCTTGCTGCTATGGTTGTGACTAACAAACTGTCTTTTCTTTGACCCTGGAGTTTCCTGTCTCTTGCCAATATTTACGATATTGGCATACATGTTTGTGTACAAGTAGGGCATAATCCGCAGATCCTGCCATGTTTCTGACTTGACAGATAGGAAATAAGGCAACCACATTATTGGATCTTAACTTCAACAAATGTGGGTGAATGCTGAATTAAAAATGACCGAGTTTAAAATTTTCTTTTGTATGTACTCAAATGAAGATGTTCTCTAGAATAAGAACATGAGGGATATTCTGATTTAGCTTTTTAACTATTAAAACTGATATACTTCAGGGCCGGCCCTATGGCCGAGTGGTTGGGTTCACCCGCTCTGCTTCAGCAGCCCAGTGTTTTGCTGGCCCAGGATTTCGCGGGTTCAAATCCTGGGTGCAGACATGGCACCACTCATCGGGCCATGCTGGGGTGGCATCCCACATGCCATAACTGGAAGGACCCACAACTAAAAATATACAACTATGTACCGGGGGGCTTTGAGGAGAAAAAGGAAAAATAAAATCTTTAAAATTGATGCACTTCTTGAAGACAGGGTATGGGATCCTTGAGGGCAGAAACATTGATGTTTTTACCACTAGCAAATGCTTGATAAATAGGTTTTTAAAACTAACCGCAATCTTGTGGGTTTTTTTTAAGAGATCTTGTTTCAAGAAAAAAAGGCATATGTTCTTAAAAGCAACAATGTGGAAAAGTCTTTTTAAAAGGTTAAAAAAAATTCATCCAAATATACCACTACCTAGAAATAATTACTCTGAACATCGGATAAGTATCATTACAACAATTTTCTATTCATAATAGATGCAGCGAGCCGGCAGGACAAAAGGAGGAACGAACAAAAAGCATCACCACGTTTTATTAAAATGGGATCATAATATGCATGTCATTTTTAATCAAATCATTTAATGTTAGCAAAAAACAAAAAAAAAACCAACATGAAGATAGTAAAACTGAAGGTGCTGCCAAACTTCAGATAATTCTGATAATTCTTCACTCCCAGAGAGCTTAGTTTCTAAATGTTAAGAAAGATACCATGAACAGGATTAAGACACTGGACTTTTAATGGCAATGCATTTGATTTGTAAATCAGCATTAATTGACTTGCTTCTATGAGAGAGAAAGAAATAGCACATTTTAACCTCCATCCACAGCCTAGTTCTGGTCAATCATTATCTTTACCTTGACAAAGTTTACTAGATTTATAGCATCTTCTATAGCCATAATTCACACAATCTAGAAATAATATATCTACAGTCAAGGAAACTTTTTAAACAATATCTATTTCAAAATTCTTCATTTTAATTCACTTTATTTAAGGAACTTCATCTGCAAGTGGTTTTTGTTTTGTTTTTTTTTACAAAAGCCACAACATTTTATGTTGCTTGAGTTTTTGCTTCTATACTCAAAGAATAGCTTACCTAGGAATAAAGTTCGGTTCATACTTTGTTTCCCTCACAGATCTGTAGTCACTGTTCCAAAATTTTCAAACACTGTGCACTATCCTACTGCTTCTCATATGCCGTTTGTCATTCACTCACTCTCCATCACTTTACTGGGCAAATTTCAACATCAAGTAGTTGTACCACGAAGTCCTCATAGATGTTGTATTTGATTTTTTTTTCCTTATTGTCTTTATAACTAAAAGACAATTTGGCTGGCGGTATATATTCTTGGATTCCACTTTCATTCCCTCCAAAGTTTCTAAACACTGCTTCATTGTATTTGGATAGTGAACATTGTAGAGATTCAAGAGCTCAGACACAGTAACCTTCTTTCTATAAGCTTTGTTTTTGTTTTTTTGTGCCTCAGTACCTACTTTAAGAATTCTTTATGAGGAAGTTCAAAATCTTAATCAGAATCAGAACATTTAATTGTCAATAGGCTTTTCCTCAATTTTTCCTGAAAATATACTTTTCAGGTCTTATAGAATCAGTTTGCCATTTCAAGGAAATTTTCTTCTAGCTTCCAGAATTTCTTGGTTCGTCTACCTGACGTATAAACATTATCCATATGTTCGATGTCTTTATCATCATTCATATCTATTTTGGTTTAGTTTTCATTTAATTTTTACTTGGAATACACTGTGATTATCCCAATTTCCCTCTATGACAATTACCTGATTTCTGTTGTATTCTATTTCTAATGTACTAATTAGCCCTATAATAGTGTTGCTCTAGTCTTAATTTTGTTCCCTTAGTTATTCAGTCACTCAGCCTCTTGCAATGTCATCTTTTAAGTTTTTAATTTTTTTGAATTCACATTTTTACTAAGTTCTTCAACAGAAGAAAACGATATGAGAATATTTTGCGGGGTAGAGAGAGCCTTGCAGTTTCTTTCAGATTTTTAAAATCTGATGCCTTCACTTTCAGCCCTTCAATGTACTTCTCCCTAACTTAAAAATATTAAGAATTATCTGGCTTCAATGAATCACCTTTTGCCCTCTAACAATGTCTTGGAGACAAATCCAGGGGTGGGGTTTAGAAGACATGATGACCCAGATAATCATCCTGTTTCTTTCTTGACTGTTACTTTTGAAATTTATGCATGAAGCTGGGTCTTTCACCTTTGTTGGTGGTTGTAAGTAATTTTGTTTGCTTGATTTACTGATTTGTTGTTTTTTTAAGCACTGGAGGAAGGAAATCGTGTAAATGATATTCAATCTATCATATTCAGCTGGTTGTCACCATCATTTTTAAATTTTTCAAGGAATTAATCTGCTTTACTTGTTGTCTTAGTCCATTTGGGCTGCTATAACAAAATACCATAGACTTGGTGGCTTAAACAAATGAACATTTTTTCCCATAGTTCTGGAGGCTGGGAAGTCCAAGTCCAAGGTGAAGGCGCTGGTAGATTCGGTGTCTGGTAAAGGGCACTTCCTGCTTCTAAGACAGCAGTCTTCTTGCTTTCTCCTCACACAGTGGAAGAGGCAAGGGAGCTTTCTGCAGTCTCTTCTGAAAGAACACTAATCCCATTCATGAATGTTCTATCCTCATGAACTGATCACCTCCCAAAGGCCCCACCTCCTAATACCATCACATTGGGTTTAGGATTTCAACATACGAATTGGGGAACAGAACACTTTCAGTCTACAGCAATTGTATACTGGACATACTTTTAAAAAAAGGTAAAGTATTCACTAAACATTAAGAGTATTTTAAGTTTAGCATTCCTAAAATAGAGCTGCTTTCATTTTTTCAATTAAGAATATGCAATTTAATATACATACATATGTCTTACATGTACGTGTTGCATGTAATTCCTACTAAATCTAAAATTGTGAATTTGTCATTAAAGTCCTCCATAATCTACCTATGTCCTATTTAAATCCTAACAATCCAACTCCACTCTTCAGCACAAATATTCTTAAACTCTAAGGCCATATTCCTCTAGGCTCATTCTTGCCTGTGAT